TTAAACACGGTAGGACCAACACCTCGGCCGTAGCAGATCATTGTTCTAATTCAGTAGGCTCACATGCCATTGACTTTTCCAAGACGGAGGTTCTTTGTAAGCCATCTGGCTTCCATGAGAGATTCGTTCATGAGGCTATCCACATATACAAACACAGAGACAATTTCAACCGAGAAGATGGATTCTATCTTAGCAATCATTGGAAAGATTTGATAAATCATTTCAGTTCTTGATTGATTGTTCACGCTTACAGTGCCTTTCAGACAGCATACATAAAAACAAATTTCGTCTCCCCCCTCCTCTTTTCAAAAAATAGATGGACTAGTCCTGGCAAACTGCCATCGTTGCGCGTGACGCAAACGTTATTTTTATATATATAAATAAATATGCCGTTTTCAAAATAAATTTATGCAAACCGACACACCTGATGATGACCGTTTGAGTTATGGTCGAAACGTCGTGAGAATTTTTTATTGTTTTATATATATTTTGTTATTTTGTTGTTTCTCTTCAACGTGACTTTACCGAAAAAACTAAGAATATGAATTACTGCAGTCACGAAAGCTTTAAATCAAAATTTAATCGCCTCTACGGGGAGGGTTTTTCACATAACTTTAAGATCTTTCAACAAACTCCGGGATAAGAAAGCTCAGCTGATCGAGTCTCTCACCTTCCTGAAGAGATGCCGCGACTCTGGGGTAATACCAATCGCATTTACACTCACCTCTGCTACTGTAACTTCTTCTAATGCGAAACGAATTCTTTTCAAAACTAGCTTAGCTCTTATCTCAGAAAAAATCAGACTTATACGCACAGAACTAGATCAGTTAGACAAGACACTCTACAAATCACACTTATCATTGACGGCAATAATGTCCACATCGGATTGGGAACATGTAGACAATATGACTGCCTCTTCAGCTGCTACTATGTCGACCAAATGTAAGGAAAACCTGATTTCCAAATTTAACCTCCTCTTCAACAAAAGACCGGACCCACACACCAAAAGTTAGACGTTAATAAAGTCGTAATTAATCGCAGTAACAGTTCTATTTCCGATGGTCTGAAATCCGTTTTAGCTAAAGGTCTAAACTTTGCAGTCACACCTAAACACATACCAGTTAATGATATAATTGCCCAAGTAGACGTTGCTCTCAGGGGCCTGGGTCACATCGCTGCAGACGTAGCAAGATCTGAAATCGCTGCAACCCTCAAAAACGCTAAGATGCCAGCTAGCAACCTCAGCAAAGATGAGCGTTTTGAATTATATAAATTAAAAAAGATGAATGATATTGTAGTTCTCTCAGCTGACAAAGGCAATGCTACTGTTATCATGGATAAAATAGAATACAACAACAAAATTAAAGAATTACTCGACGATGGTAGTTATACAAAAATAAAAAGAGATCCCACCAACAGCCTCGTCACACAAACCAACAAAATAATTTCTGATTCAACCGCATTAATTGATCAATCTAAACAGTTTTCGTTGAAACCTTCTGCTGCCAGGCCACCAAGATTATACGGCTTACCAAAAATACATAAAGTTGATACACCTCTTCGTCCCATAGTCTCTACTATCAGCTCCCCCACCTACAAACTAGCTCGTTTTTTGTCTGAAATCCTGCGTCCTTTCACTGGAAAGACCACCTCTGCGGTACAAAATTCTACTCACCTGGTATCAACAATCAAGGGTATTTCCCTGTCCCCAGACGACCTGCTTGTCAGTTTTGATGTAGTTTCCTTATTCACCAAGGTTCCTGTACCTGACACCATTGCAATCATTGAAGACTTGGTTCATCAAGGACTAAACACTGAGGTACCCCCCCTGGTGAGACACTGTTTAACCAATACATACTTCACTTGGAATGGAACTTTCTACAAACAAACTGAGGGCACCCCAATGGGCTCCCCCCTTTCTCCAGTTATAGCTAACATTTTCATGGAGAAATTTGAGACTGACGCCATCCAGACTGCCACTCTGCGCCCAACCTTATGGAAGAGGTACGTGGATGACACTTTTGTCATCTGGCCACATGGCCGGCCTGCTCTAGACCAATTCTTCGACCACATCAATTCCATACACCCAGCCATCAGATTTACCATGGAAGTCGAAATAGATGGCAAGATACCTTTTTTGGATGTCCTAATTAAAAAGAGACCTGATGGTTCAATGAGCCACTCTGTCTACAGGAAAGCTACCCATACGGATGCTTATCTGAAACCGGATTCCCACCACCATCCATCACAGAAGAATTCTCTCATCAAGACTCTGTATCATAGAGCCCAATGCATATCCGACCAGGAACACATAAGCAGTGAACTCAAGCACGTACACCAAGCTCTTAGGGCTAATGGTTACTCCGACTATACAATCCGCAAAGCTATCACTCAAACCATGAAGAAGAACCCTCTTGAGGAGCCTTTCAAAACCATCACTTTACCCTACATTGCTGGGATCACAAAAAAGATCTCCAAAATCTTGAATAAACACAAGATCCAGGTCCGTTTCAACACATTACATAAAATCCGTGATCTGGTTCCGTCTGTAAAAGATGTGATTCCGGACATACAATACCCTGGTGTCTACAAACTAAGTTGCCTCTGTGGTAGTAGTTACATTGGAGAAACCAAACGCCATATCTCGGACCGCATTCGTGAACATAAAGCAGACCTTAAACACGGTAGGACCAACACCTCGGCCGTAGCAGATCATTGTTCTAATTCAGTAGGCTCACATGCCATTGACTTTTCCAAGACGGAGGTTCTTTGTAAGCCATCTGGCTTCCATGAGAGATTCGTTCATGAGGCTATCCACATATACAAGCACAGAGACAATTTCAACCGAGAAGATAGATTCTATCTTAGCAATCATTGGAAAGATTTGATAAATCATTTCAGTTCTTGATTGATTGTTCACGCTTACAGTGCCTTTCAGACAGCATACATAAAAACAAATTTCGTCTCCCCCCTCCTCTTTTCAAAAAATAGATGGACTAGTCCTGGGCAAACTGCCAATCGTTGCGCGTGACGCAAACGTTATTTTTTATAGATATATATAAATAAATATGGCGTTTTCAAAATAAATTTATGCAAACCGACACACCTGATGATGACCGTTTGAGTTATGGTCGAAACGTCGTGAGAATTTTTTATTGTTTTATATATATTTTGTTGTTTCTCTTCAACGTGACTTTACCGAAAAAACTAAGAATATAATGTAACTACTAGTTTAGTTGTAACAATGTAACTACTAGTTTAGTTGTAACAATGTAACTATTAGTTTAGTTGTAACAATGTAACTATTAGTTTAGTTGTAACAATGTAACTACTAGTTTAGTTGTAACAATGTAACTACTAATAGTTTAGTTGTAACAATGTAACTACTAGTTTAGTTGTAACAATGTAACTACTAGTTTAGTTGTAACAATGTAACTACTAGTTTAGTTGTAACAATGTAACTATTAGTTTAGTTGTAACAATGTAACTATTAGTTTAGTTGTAACAATGTAACTACTAGTTTAGTTGTAACAATGTAACTACTAGTTTAGTTGTAACAATGTAACTACTAGTTTAGTTGTAACAATGTAACTAATAGTTTAGTTGTAACAATGTAACTACTAGTTTAGTTGTAACAATGTAACTACTAGTTTAGTTGTAACAATGTAACTACTAGTTTAGTTGTAACAATGTAACTATTAGTTTAGTTGTAACAATGTAACTATTAGTTTAGTTGTAACAATGTAACTACTAGTTTAGTTGTAACAATGTAACTACTAATAGTTTAGTTGTAACAATGTAACTACTAGTTTAGTTGTAACAATGTAACTACTAGTTTAGTTGTAACAATGTAACTACTAGTTTAGTTGTAACAATGTAACTACTAGTTTAGTTGTGACAATGTAACTACTAGTTTAGTTGTAACAATGTAACTACTAGTGTAGTTGTAACAATGTAACTACTAGTTTAGTTGTAGCAATGTAACTACTAGTTTAGTTGTAACAATGTAACTATTAGTTTAGTTGTAACAATGTAACTACTAGTTTAGTTGTAACAATGTAACTACTAGTTTAGTTGTAACAATGTAACTACTAGTTTAGTTGTAACAATGTAACTATTAGTTTAGTTGTAACAATGTAACTATTAGTTTAGTTGTAACAATGTAACTATTAGTTTAGTTGTAACAATGTAACTACTAGTTTAGTTGTAACAATGTAACTACTATTAGTTTAGTTGTAACAATGTAACTATTAGTTTAGTTGTAACAATGTAACTACCTGTTTAGTTGTAACAATGTAACTACTAGTTTAGTTGTAACAATGTAACTACTAGTTTAGTTGTAACAATGTAACTACTAGTTTAGTTGTAACAATGTAACTACTAGTTTAGTTGTAACAATGTAACTACTAGTTTAGTTGTAACAATGTAACTACTAGTGTAGTTGTAACAATGTAACTATTAGTTTAGTTGTAACAATGTAACTAATATTAGTTTAGTTGTAACAATGTAACTATTAGTTTAGTTGTAACAATGTAACTACTATTAGTTTAGTTGTAACAATGTAACTATTAGTTTAGTTGTAACAATGTAACTACTAGTTTAGTTGTAACAATGTAACTACTAGTTTAGTTGTAACAATGTAACTACTAGTTTAGTTGTAACAATGTAACTATTAGTTTAGTTGTAACAATGTAACTACTAGTTTAGTTGTAACAATGTAACTACTAGTTTAGTTGTAACAATGTAACTACTAGTTTAGTTGTAACAATGTAACTACTAGTTTAGTTGTAACAATGTAACTACTAGTTTAGTTGTAACAATGTAACTACTAGTTTAGTTGTAACAATGTAACTACTAGTTTAGTTGTAACAATGTAACTACTAGTTTAGTTGTAACAATGTAACTACTAGTTTAGTTGTAGCGATGTGAAGGTGAGTTTAGTTGTAGCGAGAGAGTTTATTAATGCCGGGTAACCTCTTTGTCTCTCTCTGTGTGTGCAGGCCACATCAAGCTGACGGACTTTGGCCTCTGCAAGGAATCCATACATGAGGGAGCCATGACACACACGTTCTGCGGCACCATCGAGTACATGTGAGTGGCACGTGTGTGTGTGTACATGTGTGTGTGTGTACGTGTGTGTGTGTGTGTGTGTACGTGTGTACGTGTACGTGTGTGTGTGTACGTGTGTGTGTACGTGTGTGTGTGTGTACGTGCGTGTGTGTACATGTGTGTGTACGTGTGTAGGTGTGTGTGTGTACGTGTGTGTGTGTGTGTGTACGTGCGTGTGTGTACGTGTGTGTGTGTAGGTGTGTGTGTGTACGTGTGTGTGTGTACGTGTGTGTGTGTACGTGTGTACGTGTGTACGTGTACGTGTGTGTGTGTACGTGTGTGTGTGCGTGTGCGTGTGTACGTGTGTGTGTGCGTGTGTGTGTACGTGCGTACGTGCGTGTGTGTGTACGTGCGTGTGTGTGTACGTGTGTGTGTGTCTACGTGTGTGTATGTCTGTGTGTGTGTGTACGTGTGTGTGTGTACGTGTGTGTGTGTGTACGTGTGTGTGTGTACGTGTGTACGTGTGTGTGTGTGTACGTGTGTGTGTGTACGTGTGTGTCTACGTGTGTGTGTACGTGTGAAAGTGTGTACACTGTGTGTATGTGGGGAGCGATAGTGTAGTGGTTAGCGCTACGCTGCGCTATGAACCTGGCGACCCGGGTTCGATTCCCGCTCACAGCCAACACCAGTGACGATTATCTGAACCGGTCCTGGGCCGCCCCTAGGTCGACTCAGGCTCAAATGAGTACCTGGTGTAGCGGTGGTGTGTAAACATTGCCACTAGAGAGACAAAGGCGGTCGGGCGTGGTGCTGGCCACCCACCCCCTCTGTGTGTGTCACTGTGTGTGTGTCACTGTGTGTGTCACTGTGTGTGAGTCACCCTGTGTGTGTGTCACTGTGTGTGTCACTGTGTGTGTCACCCTGTGTGTGTCACTGTGTGTGTCACCCTGTGTGAGTCACCCTGTGTGAGTCACCCTGTGTGAGTCACCCTGTGTGTGTGTCACTGTGTGTGTCACTGTGTGAGTCACCCTGTGTGAGTCACCCTGTGTGAGTCACCCTGTGTGTGTCTCCCTGTGTGTGTCACTCTGTGTGTGTCACTCTGTGTGAGTCACTCTGTGTGTGTCACTCTTTGTGTGTCACTGTGTGTGTCACTCTGTGTGTGTCACTGTGTGTGTGTCGCTCTGTGTGAGTCACCCTGTGTGAGTCACCCTGTGTGTGTGTCACCGTGTGTGTGTCACCCTGTGTGAGTCACCCTGTGTGTGTCACTCTGTGTGAGACACCCTGTGTGAGTCACCCTGTGTGAGTCACCCTGTGTGTGTGTCACTGTGTGTGTCACCCTGTGTGTCACCCTGTGTGTGTCACTCTGTGTGTGTGTCACCCTGTGTGTGTCACCCTGTGTGAGTCACCCTGTGTGTGTCACCCTGTGTGAGTCACTCTGTGTGTGTCACCCTGTGTGTGTGTCACTCTGTGTGTGTGTCACTCTGTGTGTGTCACTCTGTGTGTGTCACTGTGTGAGTCACCCTGTGTGAGTCACTCTGTGTGTGTCACTCTGTGTGAGTCACTCTGTGTGTCACTCTGTGTGTGTCACTCTGTGTGTGTCACCCTGTGTGTCACTCTGTGTGTGTGTCACTCTGTGTGTGTCACTCTGTGTGTGTCACTGTGTGTGTCACTGTGTGAGTCACTCTGTGTGTGTCACCCTGTGTGAGTCACTCTGTGTGTCACTCTGTGTGTGTCACTCTGTGTGTGTCACCCTGTGTGTCACTCTGTGTGTGTGTCACTCTGTGTGTGTCACTCTGTGTGTGTGTCACCCTGTGTGTGTGTCACTGTGTGGGTCACTCTGTGTGTGTAACACCGTCTGTGTCACCCTGTGTGTCACTGTGTGTGTCACTCTGTGTGTGTGTCACCGTGTGTGTCACTCTGTGTGAGTCACTCTGTGTGTGTCACTGTGTGTGTGTCACTCTGTGTGAGTCACCCTGTGTGTGTCACTCTGTGTGTGTCACTCTGTGTGTGCCACTCTGTGTGTGTCACTCTGTGTGTGCCACTCTGTGTGTGTCACCCTGTGAGTCACTCTGTGTGTGTCACCCTGTGTGAGTCACTCTGTGTGTGTCACCCTGTGTGTGTCACTGTGTGTGTCACCCTGTGTGAGTCACCCTGTGTGTGTCACTCTGTGTGTGTCACTCTGTGTGTGTCACTCTATGTGTCACTCTGTGTGTGTCACTCTGTGTGTGTCACTCTGTGTGTCACTCTGTGTGAGTCACTCTGTGTGTGTCACTCTGTGTGAGTCACCCTGTGAGTCACTCTGTGTGTGTCACTGTGTGAGTCACTCTGTGTGAGTCACCCTGTGAGTCACTCTGTGTGTGTCACCCTGTGTGTGTCACTCTGTGTGTGTCACCCTGTGTGTGTCACTGTGTGTGTGTCACCCTGTGTGTGTCACTGTGTGTGTGTGTGTGTCACTGTGTGTGTCACCCTGTGTGTGTCACTGTGTGAGTCACTGTGTGAGTCACCCTGTGTGTGTCACCCTGTGTGTGTCACTGTGTGTGTCACCCTGTGTGTGTCACCCTGTGTGAGTCACCCTGTGAGTCACTCTGTGTGTCACTCTGTGTGTGTCACTCTGTGTGTGTCACTCTGTGTGAGTCACCCTGTGAGTCACCCTGTGTGTCACTCTGTGTGTGTCACTGTGTGAGTCACTCTGTGTGTGTCACTGTGTGAGTCACTGTGTGAGTCACCCTGTGTGTGTCACTCTGTGTGAGTCACCCTGTGAGTCACTCTGTGTGTCACTCTGTGTGTGTCACTCTGTGTGTGTCACTCTGTGTGAGTCACCCTGTGAGTCACCCTGTGAGTCACTCTGTGTGTGTCACCCTGTGTGAGTCACCCTGTGTGTGTCCCTGTGTGTGAGTCACTCTGTGTGAGTCACTCTGTGTGAGTCACCCTGTGAGTCACTCTGTGTGTGTCACTGTGTGAGTGTCACCCTGTGAGTCACCCTGTGTGAGTCACTGTGTGAGTCACTGTGTGAGTCACTCTGTGTGTGTCACTGTGTGAGTGTCACCCTGTGAGTCACTCTGTGTGAGTCACTGTGTGAGTCACTCTGTGTGTGTCACTGTGTGAGTGTCACTCTGTGTGTCACTCTGTGTGAGTCACTGTGTGAGTCACCCTGTGTGAGTCACCCTGTGTGTGTGTCACTGTGTGTGTCACTCTGTGTGAGTCACCCTGTGTGTGTCACTGTGTGTGTGTGTCACCCTGTGTGAGTCACCCTGTGTGTGTCACTCTGTGTGAGTCACCCTGTGAGTCACTCTGTGTGTGTCACTCTGTGTGAGTCACTGTGTGAGTCACCCTGTGTGTGTCACTGTGTGAGTCACCCTGTGTGAGTCACCCTGTGTGTGTCACTCTGTGTGAGTCACTCTGTGTGTGTCACTCTGTGTGTGTGTCACCCTGTGTATGTCACTCTGTGTGTGTCACCCTGTGTGTGTCACTGTGTGTGTCACTGTGTGAGTCACCCTGTGTGAGTCACCCTGTGTGTGTCACTGTGTGTGTCACTGTGTGTGTGTCACTCTGTGTGAGTCACCCTGTGAGTCACTCTGTGTGTGTCACCCTGTGTGAGTCACCCTGTGTGAGTCACCCTGTGTGTGTCACTGTGTGAGTCACCCTGTGTGAGTCACTCTGTGTGTGTCACTGTGTGAGTGTCACCCTGTGAGAGTCACTGTGTGAGTCACTGTGTGAGTCACTCTGTGTGTGTCACTGTGTGTGTCACCCTGTGTGAGTCACCCTGTGTGTGTCACCCTGTGTGTGTGACTGTGTGAGTCACTCTGTGTGTGTCACTGTGAGTCACCCTGTGTGAGTCACTCTGTGTGTGTCACCCTGTGTGTCATGCTGTGTGAGTCACTCTGTGTGTGTCACTGTGTGTGTCACTGTGTGAGTCACCCTGTGTGAGTCACCCTGTGTGAGTCACTGTGTGTGTCACTCTGTGTGTGTCACTCTGTGTGTGTGTCACTCTGTGTGTGTCACTCTGTGTGTGTGTGACCCTGTGTGTCACTCTGTGTGTGTCACTCTGTGTGTGTCACTGTGTGTGTGTCACCCTGTGTGTGTCACACTGTGTGTGTCACCCTGTGTGTGTCACCCTGTGTGTCACTCTGTGTGTGTCACTCTGTGTGTGTGTCACTCTGTGTGTGTCACTCTGTGTGTGTGTCACCCTGTGTGTGTGTCACTGTGTGGGTCACTCTGTGTGTGTAACACTGTGTGTGTCACCCTGTGTGTCACTGTGTGTGTCACTCTGTGTGTGTCACTCTGTGTGTGTGTCACCCTGTGTGTGTCACTCTGTGTGAGTCACTCTTTGTGTGTCACTGTGTGTGTCACTGTGTGTGTGTCACTGTGTGTGTCACTCTGTGTGTGTGTCACCCTGTGTGTGTCACCCTGTGTGAGTCACTCTGTGTGTGTCACTCTGTGTGTGTCACTGTGTGAGTCACTCTGTGTGTGTCACCCTGTGTGTGTCACCCTGTGTGTGTGTCACCCTGTGTGTGTCACCCTGTGTGAGTCACTCTGTGTGTGTCACTCTGTGTGTGTCACTGTGTGTGTCACTCTGTGTGTGTCACTGTGTGTGTGTCGCTCTGTGTGAGTCACTCTGTGTGAGTCACCCATCAACCGGAGGCGAGGAATGGTGGTCGTGGTTACTTATGCCCCCACCGAAGATGAACATCCGTGGAGGGATGCAGGCAAAGCCGATGAGTCAGATGCCTTCTATGACCTCCTGTCACAGGTTCTGGCTAAAGTGGCCTCTCGGGATAGAGTCATCATGTTGGGTGACTTCAATGCCCGAGTTGGTCATGATACTGGCACCTGGTCTGGAGTGATTGGAGGGCATGGGCCAGATCAGCTCAGTAACAACGGTAGGAGGCTGCTAGATTTTTGTGCAGCCCATGGGCTTGTAATTACCAACACGCTGTTCCGGCATCGGCGCATCCACACAACATCATGGATGCATGCCGGGTCCAAGCAAGAACATCTGCTGGACTACATAGTGACGGACCAGCGAATGCGAGCCCATGTCCTTGACACCAGGACCTACCGTGGAGCTGATCTGCCCTCTGACCATCGACTAGTCATCTGTAAGATGCGCCTGCCATTCTTCCACTCCGGTGGTGGGTGTACACCCAGGACCCCATTCCAACATAAAGTGGCCTGGTCTCAGTTATCTGATGAAAGTTGCAAGCGAGAATTTCATCATCGCTTGCGGCTGGGATTCGCATCGTCCCCGACTCCTCCTGATGTCGAGGGTAAATGGACGAGGTTTAGGACTGACTCATGCAGCTGCAATGGCTGCTTTGGGTACGCGGTCCAGACCTCCCCAGAGACCCTGGCTGACAGAGGAGGTGTTCAGGATGGTTGAGAAAAAGCGACAGGCCCACTGTCATCGGCTACAGAATCCCACGTCAGAGAATGAGGAGGCTTACCGCAGCCTTCGCTCGGAGGTTCGGAGAGCCGTGAGGCGCTGCAAGGATGGGTGGTGGTCGCGGGTTGCTGAGGAGATGGAGTCTGCCTCAGTGGCCCGTGATCACAAATCTCTATTTAACTCCATCAAAAAAGTAACCTGCAGCGCCACACCTATTACCATCATTAGGGGAAAAAACGGTGATCCAATCTCCGACCCCCAGGAACAGGTTCGCAGATTTGCTGAGCATTTCTGTGAGGTCCTGGGGGAGGGAAAATCACCCAGCCAGGAAAACATCGTGGCACAAAGTGAGGATGACCCTGCTGAGGCTGCGGTGCCTCAAATAGTGGCTGGCTGAGGTGCCATCTGCTGAGGAAGTATTGAAGGCGATCCGGAGTCTGAGACCAGGAAAGGCAGCGGGCAGAGATGATCTCCCAAGCAAAATGCTGAGGGAGGGTGGCGTTTGTGCACAGACTGCCCTATATGACATCATAACAACAGTCTGGACCACTGGACGGGTTCCGCAGGATTGGAAGGATGCCCTGGTGGTCCCCCTTTTTAAGAAGGGTCCCCCTTTTTAAGAAGGGGGACCGCACAGACTGTAACAACTACAGGGGCATCTCACTCCTCAGTGTGCCGGGAAAGGTCCTGGCAAGGATTATTCAGCATCGCCTTTCCAGGCACGCTGAGAGGCTTGCGGAGCCCCAATGCGGTTTCAGGAAAGGGCGGTCCTGCACAGATGCCATATTTTCTGTCCGTCTGCTACAGCAGAGGTGTAGGGAATTCCCACAAGACCTACATCTCTGCTTTATTGACCTGGTCAAGGCCTATGATACCATCAGTAGGCCTGGGCTCTGGGTCGTTCTTCGTGCTTTTGGAGTACCTGACCCTCTGCTCACGATCATTAAGGACCTTCATGATGGTGAGCGGGCCCGGGTAAAACTACGTGGCCGGGAGTCAGAGCCATTCCCTGTACACCTTGGGGTGCGACAGGGATGTCCTCTGGCTCCCACATTATTTAACATCTATTTTGACCACGTAGTTCGTGAAGCCTTCAATAGCTGTACCGGGGGAATCTCCATATGGTACAGATATAATGGGAGGCTAATCGATGCCCGGGTGCGGTCAAGGGATGGCTCCCTATTGCTCAACCACGTTATGTATGCTGATGATTTGGTAATAGCTGCTCAGTCAGAGGAGGAGTTGGAGACGCTGCTGCTGAGACTGGAGCGTGCCACTAAGAGGTGGGGCCTTACCATCAGCCCCACCAAAACTAAGCACCTGCCTGGGTATTTTGTACCATCGGACACTCCACCCCCACAACTCCCAATCGGTGATGGGGCAGTTGTGGAGAGAGTGGAGAGTTTCCCATACCTGGGCAGTGTGCTTATGACCGGCTCCAGTTTAACAGCAGAGGTCTCACTCCGAATCAGTCGAGCGGCAATATCTTTTCATCGGTTGCGTAACGCTGTGTGGAAGCTACCTGGTCTGTCGCTCCACACTAAGCTTCAGGTCTTCTCGGCCACGGTCATTCCCTCCCTTCTCTACGCTTGCGAAACGTGGACCCCCCTAATGGAACATCTTCGCCGGTTAGAAACATTTAGGCTGGCCTGCCTACGATCCATCCTGGGTTTAACCAGACTGGATTGTGTGAGGAGCTCACAAATCCTTGAAAGATCTGGGCAGGGTCCCATCGGTGAGCTCCTCCGGCAGGCAAGGCTGCGATGGCTGGGTCATGTAGCCCGCATGCCCAGCCACCGCATGCCGAAACAGCTTTTGTTTGGCCGGATTGAGGGGGCTAAGCGGGCGCGGCACGGGCTAGAGAAGAGATGGAGTGATGTGGTACAGGAGGACGTGGAGCTGAGTGGACTTGCCGATGACTGGTACCAGCGGTGTCAAGATCGGCCTCTGTGGAGGAGGCTCGTGAAGGATGCTACTGGGCAGTTGGAGGCAGTCGCCCTCCAACAACAACGGAGGGCGGAGGAGCGACGCTCACAACAACGAGCGGAGCGCCGGGTGGCTAAAGCACAGCAGGTTGGCACAGTAGGGGACACAGGTGGTGCATCAGCCAGTCATCTCAGTCAGTCGACCCGTGGCACCTGGGTCTGCCCCGTGACCTCCTGCCAGCGGGCGTTCGACACTTCACGTGGCCTCAGGGTGCACATAGCCTGGCACAAGCGTCGTGGTGACATCACCGCCACTTAGTGGCGAATGGCGGTTGTTGTTGTTGTTGTGTCACTGTGTGAGTCACTCTGTGTGTGTCACCCTGTGTGAGTCACCCTGTGAGTCACCCTGTGAGTCACCCTGTGAGTCACCCTGTGTGTCACTCCCAGGGCACCGGAGATATTGAGGAGGAGTGGTCACAATCACTCTGTGTGTGTGAGTCACCCTGTGTGTGTCACCCTGTGAGTCACCCTGTGATTCACCCTGTGTGTCACCCTGTGTGTGTCATACTGTGTGTGTCACTGTGTGTGTCACTCTGTGTGAGTCACCCTGTGAGTCACCCTGTGAGTCACCCTGTGAGTCACCCTGTGAGTCACTCCCAGGGCACCGGAGATATTGAGGAGTGGTCACAATCACTCTGTGTGTGTGTGTCACTCTGTGTGTGTGTCACCCTGTGAGTGTGTCACTGTGTGTGTCACTGTGTGTGTCACTGTGTCACTGTGTGAGTCACCCTGTGAGTCACCCTGTGAGTCACCCTGTGAGTCACCCTGTGTGAGTCACCCTCTGAGTCACCCTGTGTGTGTCACTCCCAGGGCACCGGAGATATTGAGGAGGAGTGGTCACAATCACTCTGTGTGAGTCACCCTGTGTGAGTCACACTGTGTGAGTCACTCTGTGTGTGTCACCCTGTGAGTCACCGTGTGTGTCACCCTGTGTGTGTCACTGTGTGTGTGTCACTGTGTGTGTGTCACTCTGTGTGTCACTGTGAGTCACTGTGTGAGTCACTGTGTGAGTCACCCTGTGAGTCACCCTCTGAGTCACCCTGTGTGTCACCCCCCAGGGCACCGGAGATATTGAGGAGGAGTGGTCACAATCGATCTGTCGACTGGTGGAGCCTTGGGGCTCTGATGTACGACATGCTGACAGGCGCGGTGAGACTACACTACACATTATACTACATTATACACTACACATTATACTACATTATACACTACACATTATACTACATTATACACTACACATTATACACTACTACATTATACACTACTACATTATACACTACTACATTATACACTACACATTATACACTACTACATTATACACTACTACATTATACTACATTATACACTACACATTATACTACATTATACACTACACATTATACTACATTATACACTACTACATTATACACTACACATACATTATACACTACACATTATACTACATTATACACTACACATTATACTACATTATACACTACACATTATACTACATTATACACTACACATTATACTACATTATACACTACACATTATACTACATTATACACTACTACATTATACTACATTATACACTACACATTATACTACATTATACACTACACATTATACTACATTATACACTACACATTATACTACATTATACACTACACATTATACACTACACATTATACTACATTATACACTACACATTATACTACATTATACACTACACATTATACTACATTATACACTACACATTATACTACATTATACACTACTACATTATACTACATTATACACTACACATTATACTACATTATACACTACACATTATACACTACACATTATACTACATTATACACTACACATTATACTACATTATACACTACACATTATACTACATTATACACTACACATTATACACTACACATTATACTACATTATACACTACACATTATACACTACACATTATACTACATTATACACTACACATTATACTACATTATACACTACACATTATACTACATTATACACTACACATTATACTACATTATACACTACACATTATACTACATTATACACTACACATTATACTACATTATACACTACACATTATACTACATTATACACTACACATTATACTACATTATACACTACACATTATACACTACACATTATACACTACACATTATACTACATTATACACTACTACATTATACACTACACATTATACTACTATACACTACTACATTATACACTACTACATTATACACTACTACATTATACTACATAATACACTACTACATTATACTACATTATACACTACACATTATACTACATTATACACTACACATTATACTACATTATACACTACACATTATACTACTTTATACACTACATTATACTACATTATACACTACATTATACACTACTACATTATACACTACACATTATACTACATTATACACTACACATTATACTACATTATACACTACACATTATACTACATTATACACTACACATTATACTACATTATACACTACACATTATACTACATTATACACTACATTATACTACATTATACACTACATTATACACTACTACATTATACACTACACATTATACTACATTATACACTACACATTATACTACATTATACACTACACATTATACTACATTATACACTACTACATTATACTACATTATACACTACACATTATACACTACACATTATACTACATTATACACTACTACATTATACACTACTACATTATACACTACACATTATACTACATTATACACTACATTATACACTACACATTATACTACATTATACACTACTACATTATACACTACACATTATACTACATTATACACTACACATTATACTACATTATACACTACTACATTATACTACATTATACACTACTACATTATACTACATTATACACTACTACATTATACTACATTATACACTACACATTATACACTACACATTATACTACATTATACACTACTACATTATACTACATTATACTACATGATACACTACACATTATACTACATTATACACTACACATTATACTACATTATACACTACACATTATACTACATTATACACTACATTATACACTACTACATTATACTACATTATACACTACACATTATACTACATTATACACTACACATTATACTACATTATACACTACACATTATACTACTTTATACACTACATTATACTACATTATACACTACATTATACACTACTACATTATACACTACACATTATACTACATTATACACTACACATTATACTACATTATACACTACACATTATACTACATTATACACTACACATTATACTACATTATACACTACACATTATACTACATTATACACTACATTATACTACATTATACACTACATTATACACTACTACATTATACACTACACATTATACTACATTATACACTACACATTATACTACATTATACACTACACATTATACTACATTATACACTACTACATTATACTACATTATACACTACACATTATACACTACACATTATACTACATTATACACTACTACATTATACACTACTACATTATACACTACACATTATACTACATTATACACTACATTATACACTACACATTATACTACATTATACACTACTACATTATACACTACACATTATACTACATTATACACTACACATTATACTACATTATACACTACTACATTATACTACATTATACACTACTACATTATACTACATTATACACTACTACATTATACTACATTATACACTACACATTATACACTACTACATTATACACTACACATTATACTACATTATACACTACTACATTATACTACATTATACTACATGATACACTACACATTATACTACATTATACACTACACATTATACTACATTATACACTACACATTATACTACATTATACACTACATTATACACTACACATTATACTACATTATACACTACTACATTATACTACATTATACACTACACATTATACTACATTATACACTACTACATTATACTACATTATACTACATGATACACTACACATTATACTACATGATACACTACACATTATACTACATTATACACTACACATTATACTACATTATACACTACACATTATACTACATTATACACTACACATTATACTACATTATACACTACACATTATACTACATTATACACTACTACATTATACACTACTACATTATACTACATTATACACTACACATTATACTACATTATACACTACACATTATACTACATTATACACTACACATTATACTACATTATACACTACACATTATACACTACTACATTATACACTACTACATTATACACTACACATTATACTACATTATACACTACACATTATACTACATTATACACTACACATTATACTACATTATACACTACACATTATACTACATTATACACTACACATTATACTACATTATACACTACACATTATACATTATACACATTATACTACATTATACTACATTATACACTACACATTATACTACATTATACACTACACATTATACTACATTATACACTACACATTATACTACATTATACACTACACATTATACTACATTATACACTACACATTATACTACATTATACACTACTACATTATACACTACACATTATACTACATTATACACTACACATTATACTACATTATACACTACACATTATACTACATTATACACTACTACATTATACTACATTATACACTACACATTATACTACATTATACACTACACATTATACTACATTATACACTACACATTATACTACATGATACACTACACATTATACTACATTATACACTACATATTATACTGCATTATACACTACACATTATACACTACATTATACACTACACATTATACTACATTATACACTACACATTATACTACATTATACACTACATTATACACTACACATTATACACTACACATTATACTACATTATACACTACATTATACTACATTATACACTACATTATACTACATTATACACTACACATTATACACTACACATTATACTACATTATACACTACACATTATACTACATTATACACTACTACATTATACTACATGATACACTACACATTATACTACATTATACACTACACATTATACTACATTATACACTACACATTATACTACATTATACACTACATTATACACTACACATTATACTACATTATACACTACACATTATACACTACTACATTATACTACATTATACACTACACATTATACTACATTATACACTACTACATTATACTACATGATACACTACACATTATACTACATGATACACTACACATTATACTACATTATACACTACACATTATACTACATTATACACTACACATTATACTACATTATACACTACACATTATACTACATTATACACTACACATTATACTACATTATACACTACTACATTATACACTACTACATTATACTACATTATACACTACACATTATACTACATTATACACTACACATTATACTACATTATACACTACATTATACACTACTACATTATACACTACTACATTATACACTACTACATTATACACTACACATTATACTACATTATACACTACACATTATACTACATTATACACTACACATTATACTACATTATACACTACACATTATACTACATTATACACTACACATTATACATTATACACATTATACTACATTATACACTACATTATACTACATTATACACTACACATTATACTGCATTATACACTACACATTATACTACATTATACACTACACATTATACTACATTATACACTACACATTATACTACATTATACACTACACATTATACTACATTATACACTACTACATTATACACTACACATTATACTACATTATACACTACACATTATACTACATTATACACTACACATTATACTACATTATACACTACTACATTATACTACATTATACACTACACATTATACTACATTATACACTACACATTATACTACATTATACACTACACATTATACTACATGATACACTACACATTATACTACATTATACACTACACATTATACTGCATTATACACTACACAT